TCTAATCAAAAGGTTTGGTCTGTGGTCTCGGGTGTGTTCTTTCTATGGTTTTAAATTTGAATTTTTTTTAATTAATTCATACAATATTTTATTTGAATTTTAATTTGGCTCTTGCTAATGGATAATAAGATTGTTCAAAATTAATCAATCTATTAAATTGAACTTTAATTTGACTCTTATTAGAGATTGATGGGATTGATTTTTAAGTTAATTAATCTATTAAACCTGATATCGAGTTATAAAAAAAATCACATTTTAATCAAAAAATTATTTCGTGTTTTAGGGACAAATGTGGTCGTACTTAACTAATCACAAATCATCATTCCCCTTTTTACTCATCAATTACTCAATATAAAATTATAAATTTCATATTTTTTATCAATCACAGCACAATGGAGTCATTACTTGTCATGCCGCATGACTACCAAATAACTTCTCCATTCTAACCGAGGGAGTGAGTGCATATGGGGTCCACATAAACGTAATTTTACACAATAAATCCCCATCATTATCTATCCGCACCTTTCACGTGAGCCATCAACCTCCTGGCTCCATTTCCATCATCACCCCCAAATACCAATATCAACGGTCCAGAAACGTCCACCTCATCCGACATCGTACACTCATGCTCCACCTTAATAACACCCTAATTTTCAAATAATAAGGCCAAGTTTGAAAAGACTAAATAAGTGCACTTTTTGACTTTTTGGGTTGGGTTTGAAGTGATGTGTTAGAGAGGTGATGTGATTTAAATAAGATGATGTGACTTAAATAGGATAGTGACTTTTTGACTTTTTAGATTTTTTGGAGGATGCCAAACTTGGCCTAAATAGCAATGGAAGAGTGAGTGTTAAGGCCTAGTTTGGGAAGACTAAATAAGTGCACTTTTTGACTTTTTATGAAATATGAGTTGAGTTTGGGTTGGGTTTGAAGTAATGTGTTAGAGAGGTGATGTGACTTAAATAGGATAGTGACTTTTTGACTTTTTATCTTTTTTACCTCATGCCAAACTTGGCCAAGTCAGATTCTACGACAAAAAAAATAAAATAAAATATTTGAGAGAATTACATATCAACGGGCGCAGTAAACACCTTTACAAAAAGATTAAAAAATATATTATAAGTAGGCTGGCTTCTATCTAGTCTTGAAGAGTATTATTAGATTCGTAGGATACATTACGAGTCTTGTTTCGATAATCTGGATTGTTGAATGTGTAAAATTCATCACGTATTATATGATTTCACAAAATCACATTGATTGAATATCGATAACTATGTAATCAAAACAGTTTTGTATAAAAAAATAGACAGTAAAAAAATAAATGATTGACAAAAATCTAATCCGATGAGATAGTTATCGATATCCGATCAATGTGTTTTTTACAGACATATAGTATTCGACGAGTTCTACATGTTGAACTGTTCAGATTATCGAAATGGGACCTGTGGTGAACTCTCGCAGGCCCAATAGTACTAAAAGAAAGCCCAGCCCTATAAATATATTTATAATTAAAATCATAAATTTTTTCATATTTTTGTAAATGTTTTTTTCTATATTTCATTAATATGTAATTCCTTCAAAAAAAAAAATAAAAATAAAAAATTGATATTTGTTTCATTTGCTCCAGTCACAAGTTGAAAATGTATTACTATAGTTTTCAAATTATTACACTTACCAATAAAAGGTTTTGGAATTGTTTGAGATGATACATTTGTAAATATTCGATTCATTCGGATATTAAAATATAATAAATTTTAGATTCATTTAGCCTTTGTTTGGGAACTTGGTTTGGGCTAAAATAGCTACAAAAAACAAAATAGGCTATTTTAGCCACAAAAAACAAAACATCAAATCCAACCCATAATCATTACAATCCTCTCTCACAAAAAAAGCCAAAAAAGCCAAAAAATCAAAAAACCCTTCCCAAACCAGGCTAAAATAGCCCAGGCTAAAATAGTCAAAAAACCAAAAAGCCAAAAAGCCAATCCACTTCCCAAACGGAGGCTTAGAGATATTGACTATTTTTGCTACTTTCACAAAGTTATTATTAATTTATAGTGAGTTTGTAAATCTAATCGACCACATTTGATAGGATTTAAGACTTGATTTGGTTTGATTTAGTAAGTTTGAAATCTCACTAGAAATTTTTTTATTTTTTTTTTTTTAGTGATTTTTTTCCTTCAAATTTTTATTCTTTTCCATTAAAAGTGTAGAGCTTTTTTTTTTTAATTAAAAAATATATTAATGATAAAAAAAATCAACAAAAAAAGTTACTAAAAAAGTTAATCCCAAACACACCATTAGTTATTTTATTTTAGATAGATTACATTTTCACTCTTATAATTTAACTCAAATTTCACTTGAATTCTTATTATTTTAATTTAAATAATAGTAATCCTATATTTTATATTTAGTTCTATTTTACTCCTTTAATCTAAATTAGTATCAAATTGGGTAATCACTATAAATGCATTCAAAAATTTGTTAGACATCTCATTCCTAAATTTAAATTTATTAATTTTATTGAACATCCTAATTAATTATCACCTTAGGACCCATCCACCTCCCAACCCTTTGGTGCTTACCTACACTACCTTCACAACCACTTTTCGTCCCTTTTGCCACTGGTTGCTTCTCTTTACCACGCGATGCCTCCATATCTCTCTCACTGATTATCATGCCTACTCTCTCTCCCTCGCAAATCCATCTCAGACCTTAACTCTGACGACAGCATGACTAACCATTCCAAATAGAAAGAAAGAAAAAAAAAAATACAGAAGTGATTGAGACCTCCTCAATCATCAATCCCCACCACCCCACACATGTGGGGGTTGGTGATTGGAGGAAGAGAAAAAAAAATAAAAAAAATCTGGTTAATCACATGCCATAGAAGGTTGTGGGGGTCACCCTGGAGGGGATCCGGATCTTTTTTCATAAAAATATTTGTGAAGGAAGAGAGAGAGACAGTCACATATAGCCTATGTTTGGAAAGTTGGGTTTAAGATTTTTTTTGGATTAAAATAATCACAAAAAATAAAATAAGTTTTTTAGTCAAATAAGATAAAATATCACATCTAACCCATAATCATTACATTTTCTCTCACAAAAAAACAAAAAAATCAAAAGTCCTTCCTAAATAGCCAAAAAAGTCAAAAAGTCAACTCGCTTCGCGAACGAAACCATAATGGTCAGAATGAACAACAATATAAAAAATAAAAATAAAAATAATAGAAAGACAGTTAATAGAGATGTCGAAATATATAAGATACGACCATGAATGGATGATAGGGGATTACGCTCCGTTTGTTTGGAGTTATAGGGAGGGGATTGAAATTGATAGTTAAATAGGACTCATTATATGGGGTGTTTGTTTTGAGAGATGAGGAGGGGACTCCTAATCCCTTGATATTAGGATAAGTCTTGGAAGGGGGATTGGAATGGAAGAGGTGGAGATGATATTAGAAAAATAGTTCCAAGGACTAGAATTATTTTATTTTATTTATTTATTTATTTATTTTTTTACATGTTGGGCATTTTTTTAACATTAATGTTTAATTTTTTATATTTTTTTGTTAAGTAAAAATCATTATTTTATTTGTTTTATTTTTTTTGGATTTTTTTATAATTTTTTTACACGTTGGGCATTTTTTAATTTTTTACAATTATCATCAAAATATATACAATTTTAATTAATTTTCTTACTGTTAATCTTTTCAATTCTACCTTTGAAAATAAATGTGCCTCAGAAAGTTACACATGCAAGAGGGGGTTGTGGAGGGAGGGAGAGAAGGGTCAGAGGAGAAAAGGGTAGGAGGCTGACCGCAATTAGAAGTGACTAAAAAAATGAGGATATAGGGATGTTAGTATGCCTTATGTCACAGGGTGCTGTTATGTTGTACAACCTCTTAAGGTTATACACCATGTGCAACTAATACAAGAGGGGGTTGTGGAGGGAGGGAGAGAAGGGTCAGAGGAGAAAAAGGTAGGAGGCTGACCGCAATTAGAAGTGACTAAAAAAATGAGGATATAGGGATGTTAGTATGCCTTATGTCACAGGATGCTGTTATGTTGTACAACCCCTTAAGGTTATACACCATGTGCAACTAATACAAAAGGTCTAAATGGAAGGTGTAAATATAAAACAGGACAGCAAACAGAAAGGCGTAAGTATAAGGTGTAAATTGCACACTTAAGAAAAGTCCTATGTCACAACAGCCCTTCTGCGAGGCTCATGAGTTTTTTTTAGATACATTTTGATCATTTGAATCGTTTATATTGTAAGATTTATCAAACAAATTATCTAAAAAAAATCAAGTTAATCAGATATCAATAGTTCCACGATCAACTCCTCATTGTTTAAAAAAAAAAAAAAAATTATTAAAACATGTTAACTGTTTATCTTTTAAAAAATAAATGTGATTTTGTTATGAGACCATAGTTTTTCAATTAACCTAAATTTTTTTGTATAGATAATTTACTCAATAAATTTTACAATCTGAACAATTTAAATCATTAAAATATTCCTGAAAAAAAAAGCTCTCAATGAGCTTCACAGCAAGTTATTTATAAGAGAAATAAAATTTAAGATTTTAAAGTGTTTTTAGAAACTATTGTCAAATTGATTGACACAAAGCAAATTAGACTCGTAAAATTTAAAATTAAAAATAATAAGTGTTAAAATGAAAATTTTGTCAAATAGAAAGGTGAAAACTGTAATTCATTATTATTATTCATTAATTACCGTTTTCAGAAAATAATAACCTGAAATTAATTACTAACAGAAATTTCTCAGGGGTTGGCTTTTTGGCTTTTTTGGTGACTTTTTTGACAAAAAGTTGGGTTGTTTTGGGTAAAAAAGCTGACTTTTTTGGCTAAAAAAGCCAAAAAGCCAAAAAGTTGGCTTTTTACCATTGTTCCCAAAATAGGCCAACAAATAGACATTCTATTTATTTTTTTTAATTAAAAAAATAAAAAGAAGAATTACTTATTCGAGTCTCTTCAAGGAAACACGGGCACAACCTGCAAATCTTTGCTATTTTGGGGTACTTTTTTTCGCAGCCCTTGTCTCCTTCTTCATCGTCATCTCTTCTCTCTCTATCTTTTTTTTTTTGGTTTGGTTCGCTCTGTCGAGCTAGCGAGCTTCAATTCCTTTGGATTCAATCTAGGGTTAGGGTTTTGGTATATCTGGAATCTCTGATTATGCTTCTCCAATGAAACAGGGCGGAGAGTTTCGAGTTTTGATTCTTCAACTTTTGCTTTGATGTTGTTGTTCTTGTTCTTGTTCTTGTTCTTGTTCGAGTGGTGATGGAGGCGGCGAATCCACAGCCACTTCAAGCTCGTCCCTACGAAGAGCACGCTCAAGTTCCGGCGATACAGATCGAGGACGACGACGACGGCGAGTACGAGGATGGCGTCGATGGTGGCGGTGATGATGCTATGGATGAGGCGGAGGAAGCTCACGTGACTTCCGTGAATGCTTCCGACCACCACCGTCACGGCGGCGGAGATGGTGGTAGTGGTGGTGTGGTGGTGGCGTCTCGGACTAGTGAGCTCACTCTCGCTTTTGAAGGAGAGGTTTATGTGTTCCCTGCTGTTACGCCTGAAAAGGTTCGTTCATCTTCAATTCTATCATGGCTTCGTGGTTCAATCGATTGCACGGACGTAATTTTAAAAAATAAAATAAAATAAAAATTGAAGCAGATACAATGAATTGAAGACAATTTATTGCGTGAATCATTTGTGAGAAGAACTACAATTCTTATGCCTGTGTGTGTGTGTGTTTTTTTTAATTAATTTTTTATAGGGATTAGTGATTGTTTGGTTTGAAGAATCTCATTGAGTGTCCTTGTAGTTGCTATTTTTGTAAAGTTAATGACTTTTAGTCTGAGGATTCTTTATTGTTGAACAGAATATTCATATAGTACTTATTTATTTTTCTATTATGTTTCATATAGTACTTATTCATAATGTTTCATAACTGTACTGTATTGTGTTTGCTATTCCTGGATTCTGTGTTAACTGTTGGTGCTGTTATTAGTTTAATTTGAAAAAATGTAACAGAAGAATTATCTTTGTGCTAACAAGTTGACTACTGTGTTTTTCTGTGATAATGGGAATGAGCCTTGAGTCAATTTTTTGTGGAGTATTTGGAGCTGGCATTTGCTTCTCATGATGGGTCTATGAGAGTCTTAAATTGAACCCCACCCCCCCATTCTCCTTCTTTTGCTTCGAATGAAGATAACAAATTACGAATGTGTAGATTATATCATATATGTGACCGAAGGTGGTAACCCGGTAACATGATTTACTGGATGTAACTCAAGATTGTCTCTCATGATGTCAACCTTCGATATAGAATGAGTTGCTCTGTTGCTACCTCTTCTTGTGTTTAGAATATTATACTTTACCTAATTTGTGATTTATTTTATGTGAACATCTTGGAACCCTCATGAAAATTGCCTGATTGTCAAAGATGCAAAATAAATACATAAATAATAATAATAATAATTTTTATATAGCTTGTGACATGAAACAATAAAGATCATTTTTTTATTGAACTTCATGATTTGTAGCTTGCCATCAGTTCAATTTCCTAAAGGTGTCTCTGTTTACTGCTGGGAATTCTTTGTCCAGAATAATCATTCCAATCTCTCTCCCTCTCTCTCTCTCTCTCACACACACACACACACACACAGTCCTCTGAACCATCTTTTTATTTGCTTAACTCCAGGAATTTGTCAGTTGTAGCAAACTGCAATGCCCCTACAGAGGTCTTACATGCAATTAATATATCTTGGGTTGGTGTTATTTTACCTATTTTGGTTTATTATGCTTTTTTCACCTTGGGGAACCAAAACATAGAATCAAAGAGCTTGGAAATCACTTTTTTGAAGATACCACATACATTTTGGAGCATCAACGGGCAATTGGGGCTACTGGGATGGTTGGACTAGAATAGCAGGGTTGTACAATACTTATATATTACACAATTCAAGCGTGAATGCACGTGATCATCAAATGTGCAGGAACTTCAACCCCTTTTCATTTAGTGCTCACTCATGCAGAACGGAAGACCAAACATAGGCACGTGAAGGGCACTTTTAAGATTCTTATAAATGTCCTTCCGCTCTAAAACCTAAATTGAGTTAAAAAATATATATATATTCTTCTTGGAAAATTGAGACTAATATTTTTATTCATTAGAGAGTTGGTAAAACTTGCAAGAGATCCCTAACTTTGTGTTTTTTTCATCATTTGCTTTCTCTGATTAAAAAAACAATGCTTGTTCCTTTATTTCTTGAATTTTTCTATTTCTTTTTACATTCATGAGTTACTTTTCTATTATTTTTATTTTTTATTATTTTCTCATTATTCAATCATGAGTAGCTTTGACCCTTGTAATGCCTCTCTCTTGTAGTCTTATTTTGCACCAAGATTATCGCAAGATGAGTATTATCATCACCCAAGTCAACATAGGTTCAACTGTAATGACTCAGTGTACATGAACTGAGTTAGTCAAGGACCCTCTACTGTTCTTATTCTAGTTATGTGTCTTCTCAACTGTTTGTGTTATTGGTCCACTACTTCATAATTATCTGGAATTTTTATATGGTACAAAATCTCTTATTATGTTTATTTGTATTCAAATTTATTATTTATTGAAAATGTACAGGTGCAAGCTGTGCTCTTGCTTTTGGGAGGGCGTGAAATACCTACTGGTGTGCCTACAATTGATGTTCCGTTTGATCAGAATAATAAGGTAACTTTGAAGTGGGAAATATTGAAGGCAACGGTTTTGCATTTCCTAAATTTGTATTCATGCTTTATCTGCAATACTTTTAGGATTTGGATGATAACCCAAAGCGCTCAAATCTTTCACGAAGAATTGCCTCCCTAGTTAGGTTCCGTGAAAAACGAAAGGAGAGATGCTTTGATAAGAAAATCAGGTACAACGTGCGAAAGGAGGTTGCTCAAAGGTAAGAGATGTTTACAGCACTTGGGGTGCTGTTTGTGAATAATGTATCATTAGGCTGGCTAATTTAATTATCTTTGAAGTGTAATTGGGTCATATATAATAATAATTATTTATATGCCAAAGATGACGAGGCACAATTGTAAAGTATTGGCACATCTTCTAACAGAGAACGGTGGAATAGGGATTGCATTCACTGCCAATCAAAATCTAATATATGTATATTCTTCGGATATGGTTATTTATTTCGTGCATAAATCTCATATGTTTTATTCTATTAGGATGCATCGTAAGAATGGACAGTTTGCTTCATTGAAAAAGAGTCCAGGGGCTGCTTGTTGGGATTCTCCTAATAGTTGCCCTCAAGAAGATAGCACACCTCGTCCAGAAACTGTGTGAGTTGCAACCTGAATCTGACACTGCTGTTTTCGGCGTATAAAATGATATTTCACTATCACCTTAATTAATTATTGCTGTGAGCATTATGGGAATTTTTTATTCTGCAATATTTCAGCGTTCGAAGATGTCATCATTGTGGTGTTAGTGAAAATTCTACTCCTGCAATGCGTCGTGGCCCAGCTGGACCAAGGACACTCTGCAATGCATGCGGACTTATGTGGGCAAATAAGGTCTGTATAGTCTTGGTCATCAAAATTTTTACTTCTTTGTTCCTGAGGTCACCCCTCTTGGATTAAAAATGAACCCGGTCCCATTGCTTTGTTGGCCATAGATTTGCATGCATGGGGACTAAATGAATTCAGTTGATTAATGTTTATTCAAATGGGATGGTTGGATGTAGTTTTGGTCACTGTCAAAAAGCTGAGGTAGAGGCCTTGTTCTTCAGGCTTCTGTGAAACTTGGTTATTTAAAAACACCAAAGGCTTGTTTGGTATTGTTTTCTTTGTCTGATTTCAAAAACAGAAAATGGAAACTGATATCATTTTAGCAATTTACAATTTGAGGTATACTCGTTCAAGTACACTTGCATCCATATACACTTAAGTAGTATTCTTTAAATTATGTAATCAATGTAAGCTGAACTATTCTATTGCATTTGGAGTATGTGGTGTACCACGCTTCCCATTCCACTTGCCCAAACAATAAATGGTTTGGGTAACTTGGGCTGAAGCTGTTGATGATGGTGATTCTTGTGTCATCAATTGAGAAAAATAGTTCTGTGTGGTCTTCATGTTCTGACCTGTCTTGGAATTGTTATATTCTCTTGTTGGATCATTGTTATTACAAATCATGGCTTTTACTTTTTTTATTTTTTATTTTTTGTCTTTGTTTGTGGTAATGGCTTGTTTTATTTCACCATTTAATTGACTCTCTGCAGGGAACTCTGAGAGATCTGAACAAGGGAGGGAGGAATCTTTCTTTGGACCAAATAGAACCGGTACGTTTCATGCCATTTTTTCGGGGTTCGTGGAGAGTTAGAGCACCAAAATTAATGCTATGAATCATTGCTGACAAAATAAATATACAACTAAGGTCTCGTTTGGGAACAAGCTTTTTTAGTAATTTTTTGATTTTTTGGCTAAAATATGATGTAAAAAAAACTAGTATGTTTGGGATGACTTTTTGATTTTTTTTATGAAAAGATGTGCAAAAAGTAGAGAGAAAAGGAAATCTTTGACTTTTTGGTATAAGTTGTTGGCTTTTTTATTTTTTTAGTGACTTTTTGACTTTTTGGCTAAAAAAGTCACTTGCCAAACAAGGCCTTAATTGACTCTCTGCAGGGAACTCTGAGAGATCTGAACAAGGGAGGGAGGAATCTTTCTTTGGACCAAATAGAACCGGTACGTTTCATGACGTTTTTTCGGGGTTCGTGGAGAGTTGGATCTATGGTCAAACATAAATTTGTTGTTGCCAAATATATAATAACAATTCATAATGATGGAGATCTTTGATTGAACCCAGATTTTGTTTGGGATTTGCAGGAAACACCTATTGACATTAAGCCTTCAATCATGGAAGGAGAAAATTTCTTTGGAAACCAGGGTGATCCTGTATGATTTCTGTTGGTTCCTTACAAGGAAATTGTCAGTGAATGGAGAAGTTTGGAATTTTCTGACCTGATCCATGGTGTATGCAGGGAACTCCTGAAGATCCCTCTAGGGCTGTAACAGGAGGAACTGACAATCCTTCTCTCAATCCAGACGAGGAAGTATGTTCTCAATTCTAAAATTAGCCAATTTGACAATTTCCCATAGATGTATATGTATTATACTTACATGTGGCTGTACAAGCTTAACTACTAATGTTAGTTTACTGCCAAAAAATTGACTTAAAAGCATTTATCAAGGCTTGCCATTAGCATCCCTGGTGGCACGGGTTCAAGTCAGAAATTGCCTCTCCATGAACCAAACACAGCCTTAGGTGATATCTGATTGTGTGATTAAATAATGCATCTCTGTGTTATGCAGGATACTGCTGAAGATCATCCAAATAGTTCGCCAATGGGGATTGTCAATTCTTCATGCAACCTTGATGAGCAGGTACGATAACTTAAATGAATGGTTAAAGATGTGCTGATTTCTGGTCTGTTTTGATCTTTCCATGTAATGTGAGAATTTGGGCATGTATAACTTCAAAATTGAAATTATTGGAGTGTTGATTTCTGGGCATTTTGATCCTATCCTATGTTTCTTACATCTTTCCCTGTAATGTGAGAATTCGGCTATGTAACTTAAAAATTAAAAATCATTTAACTTTACAACAAATCAAGAAGTAAACTTGGTGGTAGTAGGGATGGGGATTGTTTTTGAGTAATTCTACAATTTCTCTCACATCAAGTTTTGGAATGAGCAGGAAACTCTTGTCGAGCTCGCGAGTGCATCAGAAACTGAGATGGAGATTCCTGCTAACTTTGTTTAGTAGGTACAGTTTCTTAAGTTCCAAGTAAATACCCTGTTATTTTAGTTTCTCTCATGTTGTTATTGCTATTTACAGGCCAAATATTGTTGAAACTCATCGGATAAGCAATAACTTCTCGTAGCTTCAAAATGGCAAATGACATGCGTCCAGAATGCAGTGATTCTCTCACTACCCACAGAGAGAGAGAGGAACACCGTTGGTTCCACCTGACATTAGAACATCTGGGATGCTTGAATGTTGATATTAATTGGTAGGATCTTGTTTGTGTATTGAGTTGTTGGAAGATGATGTTTGGAGTGCCTTAATCAGTCTTTATATATTTATCATTTTTAGGGTTTTTTTTTTTAATAGAATTTATTGAATTCTGCTTTATTTATTTACTTTTTAGTTTGGTTCAATGTGCATTGGTAATGTACTTGTCATAGTGTTTAATTTCCCCAGATATAAACCCTATTCTGTTTTTTTTATTTTTGTTTTTATAGCCAATTTGACAAATATACCCAAGGCAATTGACCTGTGAACCTTTTGGATGGGTAAAATGTACTTATAATATTTTGAAAATGGGTGAATTTTGAACTAATGCCCTTTTTCTGTCTCTGTTTTTATTGTGTGTTCAATGGTTCTATATAAAAAAACCATGGAGAACAGTTGCTGTGGAAGTATCGCAAATCCGAAGAACAAACAAACGTGTGCATAAACTTCCAGCACAATTACTTGCAAAATAAAAATAAGAAGGTAAAGAGGGAAAACACCAACCTGAAAGTTTCAACTTGAACAGTTTTGAGGGAATAAATTAGTTTAGTAGTATCTGAAAATCCTGGAAGACATCAGTTAGGCAAGCTGAGCTGGTGCAAGACATCTAACACAGATCCATTGAACCAATACATCTGAAATTGTGTACCTAAATTTGTGCATCACGTTATTGAATGGATCTAGTTTATGTGTACTTGAGAGGGAGAGAATTTATTCTATTATCAACATATACATACAGCTGTTTATACAAAATTGTACATGCAACTCCTGAAGAGCCCATATCTTGCAGGATATAAAAGTAATATATTTAAGTGGGGCTTTGAGGAGGATGGTTCCTCCAACAATAGATACAACTACTCTCTTAAATGTGAATGTGAGAGAGAGAGGGTGTGTGTGAGTCTTGATATTCCATTGTCGGCTATCATAAGTAACCCTTTCAACTTCACAACGCAAGCAGTTCCTTGGGCCTGCGTTTATATGCACATAGCTTGGAAAAATCTCGAATCTTCCAAAGGTAGAGGTCCCAACTCAAATCCATTAAAATTTTCCCGCTTTGCATCCCCAGGTTGATGGGGACTTAGTATAGAAAAAAAAAAAAAAAACCTTCATCTTTGCACAACTCTCCTTTAACCGATGAAGAAATATACCAAGTTTAATGACTTCAGGCGCCTCTACTCCTGGAAATCCTCGTAAGGTGAAGATCCAGTAGAAGAATCACTTTCAAATGGCGTGGTCTCCCTTGGGGATGATGGGAGTGAGTCTCTCTGCTGGGAAGATGAACCTGGTGCAGGAACAATGATCATTCAGAGAGTTAGAATATCTCTTTTGAGTTCAAATCGTCTAGAGCACAATAGAAGAAACCAACTTCATGTAGGTTCATAGCAAGGACTGGATCTTCTATTTCCACATACCACATCATCTCACTTTTTTGGTTTGGACATCTACTTCCAAGCAAAACCTTATGATTCAGCTATGTCTTTGGTTTGGAAGTTGATTTCCAAACCATTGATTTTTGTTTGGAAGTTGATTTCTGAATGGAAAATGGTGCGTGAACTGTTGTGTGAAAATAGAAGCTCCCAGCAAGAACGTGGCACACTGGGTTGAAATTACAGAATGTTAGAACGTGTCCCACATTACTTGGAGTTGCCCCATTTGTGCTACTTATAAGGCTCTAGTTTTTCTCTTCTTAATAACTGGAGTTTAAGGATAAGTGTAGGCTGGGCTTTTCAATTTGGTATCAAAACTTAATTGGGCCTGTGATTGGTGTGCCATTTGTCTGGCTACTATATGTTTGTGATTGGTGTGCTGTTTGTCTGGCAATATGTTGTGGTCCAGGAGGGTGTATTGTAATGTGTTCTACATCGCCTAAAGTTGCCCCATCTGTGCTACTTATAAGACTTCAGTTTCCCTCTCCCTAATACCTGAGTTTTAAAGAAAAATGTGGGCTAGACTTTTCAATTCAGAACACCCAAAAGGTTTTAAAAATGACTTCAAGACAGTATGGATGACACCAATGAAAATGCATCTACTAGCCCTCGTTCCATTCTCCTCAATACACGAGGATAGTAGCCGAAGTACTTGAACTCAGCTTGTAATTGCAATGTTGTAAAATGTGGCAGATAAAAGTTTTGAGGTTTTGGGTCCATGTCAAGAAACCAAAGGAGGTTGGATAAAATGGAAACGAGCCTCTAACAAACCTTTCTGTCCTCTTGAGCGAAACTTTTTTGTGTGCCGTCTAAGAAGCTTCTTAGCTTTTGTTATAGTTAGTTGCCTAGCGAAGGGAGAGAACTCTGCATCACTTTCACTCCAGTCACCACTGAACTCATTCTCTGCTTCACCCCTCATTGTCCGCAGCACAAATGCCTTGGCCTTGCGGCGCTGAGAATTGAAAAGGCCCCTAATAGAGGTGACAAATCCATCGCCCGCTCCATCACTAGGACGCTTAGCCCACGATATTGGGTATTGACCAGGTTTCCCAGCTGAACCACCTCCATCGCTGTCACTAAAGTTAAGATCATTGTCTGGAACACCAGATCTGCTGGACTCCCTTTGACTCGGTGCTTTGTCTTTAAACTTCTTACCCTGCGTATAAGTTGAGAAGTATGTTAGTGCTAAAGGAGATATTGCTCACCAAGCGAGCAAGTAACCCCAACAATGGGAAGTGAATGTCAATGTTTTCTTTTTTCGGATGGGTGAACACAAGGAAGGAAGCATGGGTATGGGTATGCTGATATAGAAGGACGCAAGTACAGTCCAAACCTAAAAAAAAGTCAAATACAAGTACAGTCCGGTACATCCATAAAAAAATAATTTTATAATTTGTAATAGTACATCATGATGTAATAATTTTAAAATATTTTTGTAATGGTAAAAATAACCCCCGTAATTTTTAAATTTTTGATAATTGCAAAAATACTCTTATAATTTTTTTTAAAATAAAAAATAAAAAATAGGCACAATACAATTGTTCCACGAACCCTATATTTTTAAAAAATTACATTCATGCCTTGAAGTACTCAAAACATACCCATGCCTTACCAGTCCCATTACAATTTTGTACCCAAAGTATTTTTGCATACGCAATACGCATGCAGCCGTACGAGTATGCATATCAGTACTGGGTAAATACCTAGTACTCCTTCGGAGTAACCATGCTTCATAGGGTGAACATAATGCCTGTGAATTCACTTGCTGACAAAATTAATAAAGATGCACCAGAAGGTAACTAACAATAGTAATTAATATTGTTCTTTTATGGTGGTGAGAGGGTCATGGGTGAGAGAGCGAGATTGAGAGTCTATAGCAGGAGAGCTTCTGAGTTACGAATCGAAAAGAAACTCATTATCATTCAGGTGGATAATGAATCCAAAGGAGGTCTAGTGGAGGTCATTGAGAGGAATAGACTCAGAAGTCTCTGAAGATAGATTTGGAAGGTGTCTCTTGGGCTGTACAAGCTTTGCGACAGGTTTGGGGTAAGCGCAGTGATCAATCTTTTTTCACAAAGTACACAAGTAGCTCAACAGTTTTTTGTCTTCAGAATCTATGAATCAGGTCAATCCTTCCTTTAACCAAGATTTAACATTTTCATCTTCTCAGAAAGAGGTACAAGCTATTCCAGACTCTTCTTGTTCTGAGGAAGTGGCTAGGGGTGGGGTTTCTTTGCTTCATCTATCCAATTCTTATTGCCCTGTTCTTGAAGTCTCATTAGTTGATTCTGTTGTGCAAGGGGTTACTGCTGAAATTCCGAGGGCCACTGTGAATGAGTCTATCATAGTGTCGGAAAATCAGGGTGGAATCTTGGGTAATCATTTTGACAAGGGGGGTCAGGTTTTTAGTGAAGGGAAGGAGGAAACGGAAAGATGGTTGAAGGAGTTGAGCAAGTATGAGACTTGCCCTATCAAGGAGAATGAGGTACCTCATTTTATGCAATTACTTCAGGTCATGGGATTGTCACTAGTTAAAATTAAGGATAGTTTTGGGTCTTTTAGGATGCGTAATAGGTCCACGAGGGAGAAAGCTGTCAGAAAGGAAGGTGAGAATAGTAAAAAGGATGTAAGGAAATTAAGGAATTTAGCAAGTTTAGTTAACTATGAGAGGAGACAAGAGGAGGTTAGGGGCGAAAATGTTTCCCTATGAAGATTATTAGTTGGAATGTGAGGGGTTTGGGTTCTTGGAAAAAGAGGAGAGTTATTAAGGATTTTCTAATGAGTCATCAACCGGACATAGTTGTTTTGCAGGAATCTAAAGTACAAGTATGTGATAGGAGGTTCATGCAAAGTCTTTGGGGTGTTAGACATAAGGGATGGGTGTGTTTGCCTTCAGTTGGTAGATTAGGGAGAGTTTTGTTATTGTGGGATGAGAGAGTCGTTTCTAAGTGTGAAACTATAGTGGGGGAGTTTTCACTATCAGTTAGGTTTAGGAACTTGGACAATACGGAGTGGTGGTTGACTAGGGTTTATTGACCTAACTGTCATTCTAGGAGAAAGGATTTTTGGGTGGGGCTATATGGCTTATTTGGGTTGTGTTCACCAAAGTGGTGTTTAAGGGGGGATTTTAATGTGGTAAGGAAGATCTCAGAAAAACTTAATGGGATTAGAACAACTAGGGGGATGAGGGACTTTGACTTGTTTATTAAAGAGTGTGAGCTGGTGGATCCTCCTTTGTGTAATACAAGATTTACTTGGTCTAATCTTCAAGAGAATTTGGTGTGTTGTAGACTTGATAGATTTTTATATTCCTTGGGATGGGAAGTGGTTTTTCCCAATTTAAGACAGGAATCGCTACCTAGATTAGTTTTAGATCACTGTCCTATTGTGATAGAAAGTTGTCCACTAAAATGGGGACCGATGCCTATTAGATTTGAGAATATGTGGCTGGAGCATACATCTTTTAAACAAAATTTTGAGGAATGGTGGACCAATGCTAATCGTCATGGATGGGAAGGTTTTAAATTTATGAGAAAGTTGAAGATGGTCAAGGAAAAGGTGAAGTGTTGGAATAGGGAGATTTTTGGGATTTTGGAGTCTTCAAAAAAAGGAGGTGATGAGTAGATTAGAAGAGTTAGATGCCTTGGAGTCGCAAGGGGGTTTAGTTGAGTCATTTAGAAGGGAAAGATCTCAGTTGAGATTGAAATTGGAAGAGTTGTCTTTTAGGGAGCAAATTTCTTGGGATCAAAAAGCAAAAATCAAATGGTTGAAGGAAGGGGATGTTAATTCAAAAAATTTCACAAGGTTGCAGACGGGAAAATGAAGAAAAAGTTCATCAAGAGATTAGAACTAAGTCTAGGGGTAGTGGAGTAAAGGGAGAATCAGATTATCAGTGGCATTTATGATTTTTATTCTAAGCTTTATTCGAAGGAAGAAGGGAATAGACCGGGGATTGAAGGGCTTGAGTGGAGATCCATTGATTAGGCAACTGTAACATGGCTTGAAAGGCCTTATGATAAAATTGAAATTCGAGAGGCGGTCTTTGATTGTGAGAGAGACAAAGCTCCAGGTTCGGATGGTTTTTCCATGGCCATCTTTCAAGATTGTTAGGAGGCGGTGAAAGGGGATTTGTTGAGAGTGTTTTTGGCATTTCATGGGTTGGGGGTTGTTAATTTCAGCTCAAATGCTACATTCATCTGTTCAATTCTTAAGAAAGTGAATGCTGTAAGAATTTGAGATTTTAGGCCTATTAGTTTCGTAACATACTCTACAAGATTTTGGAGAAGGTTTTATCAAAACGACTAAGGATGTCTTTAGGGGATACTGTGTCTAGGACGCAAGGGGCTTTTGTGAAAAGAAGACAAATCTTAAATGTTGCCTTAGTGGCAAATGAAGTAGTGGAGGAATATAGAAATTCAACGAGGGAGGAACTTATTTTTAAGGTAGATTTTGAGAAGGCATATGATCATGTGGATTGACAGTTTTTGGATTTTGTAATGGACAAGAAAAGATATGGTGGGCGGTGGAGATCTTAGATTAGGGGATGTGTGGCGACTTGTAATATGTCAGTCATAGTTAATGGTAAACCAGGGGATTTCTTTAGAGCTTCATGGGGGCTTCGACAAGGGAACCTATTATCTCCTTTTCTTTTTATTTTGGTGGCTGATGTACTTGGAAGGATGGTCGATAGAGCTAAAGAAGTAGGTCTTTTTGTAGGGTTGGAGGTGGGGCGGGATAGAGTTAGTGTGACACATTTACAATATGCGGATGATACCATATTTTTCTCTTCAGGAGATGAAAGTCAGATAGTTAATCTTTATTCGATTTTGAGACTTTTTGGGGTTATTTCAGGGCTTAAGATTAATTTGGGAAAAAATAGTGTAGTGGGATTAATATGCAGCAAGATCAGCTTCAGCTCAGGGCGACACTTTTAGGATGGGGTAAAGAGTCACTTCCGTTTAAGTATTTGGGTATTCCACTTGGGGGTAATCCTAGGAGTGAAGTTTTTTGAAATCCAGTTGTAAAAAAAATTGGTAAGAGACTGGAAGGGTGGAATAAGGCTTTATTATCACGTGGGGATAGATACACTTTGGTTAAGACTGTTTTGAGAGGTATTCCTATTTAGTATTTATCTTTATTCAAGGTTCCGGTTAAGGTGGCAAGGTTACTAGAAAAGTTGATGAAGGATTTTCTTTAAGAAGGCAAGGATGAGGGGAAAAATGATCACTTGGCAAATTGGGAGTTGGTGTCGCTACCTAAGGAGAAAGGGGGTTTGGCTATCGGTAATATCTTAGCCAGGAACTTGGCCCTTCTTGGCAAGTGGTTATGAAGATTTTCCCTTGAGACTGATTCACTTTGGCATGCGGTTATAAGAAGCAAATATGAGACTCATGACAATGGTAGGGATTCACGGGTGGTTCTGAGAGGTAACTTTCGTGCTCCTTGGAAGTCAATTTCTCAAATTTTCACATGTTGGTATCATCATCTTTCTGTAAGGGTGGGCAATGGGGAACTAGTTCAATTTTAGAAGGATGTTTGGATGGGTCAATTTTCTTTTGCTGCTGACTTCCCACATCTTTATAGATTGGCTCGATCTCATAATTCTTCAATTGCTTCCATGGCTTGTTCACTTTTGGCTCCAATTTCCTGAAATTTTGATTTTTCTAGGAATCTTAATGATAGGGAGGCCTCACAATTGACCTCTTTATTGTCTAGAATTGATCATTTTTCTTTATCTCCTCTTTTAGAGCACAAGAGGGTTTGGGCTCTTCATTCGTCCGGGATATTTTCTTGTAAGTCTTTTTTTAATTATATCATTGATAATCCTCGTGTTTCTTTTTGTAAAAAAGTTTAGAAGGTTTGTGGCATTTTGACAAATGATACTTGTAGAAACGGAGACCTAATCGTTTTCTAAATCCTCAGCGGTGCATTCTGTGTTGTTAGAATGGGGAATCTGTGGATCATCTATTCTTGCATTGTCCAACCGCTTTGAATTTATGGCATAGATTGTTTTCTTTGGAAAATGTTATGTAGGTAGCCCCAAAAAGGAGTGCGCATATGCTCTTGGTTGATTTTCGCACTTTCGGAGGATCTAAGAAAGCCAAATTGCTATGGTCATGTGCTGTCTTCGCAATTTTTTGGGTTCTACGGATGGAGAGAAATTTTTTTTGTTGATTATCAAAAAAAAAATTAATATTATTTTATTGCTGTGAAGCTGGGAAGAGAACAATATAGAACTTTTGGAATCTTCACAAAGTAACACAATCGGTTGGGAAAGATTTACAGCTACAGTGTGCCAGGGAGTTTTGGGGGAGGGGCAGGGGGACATGTTGTAACTCTGCCCATGAAACAGAGAGAGCCCAAGTTGGGAACTCACGCGCGTTGTAATGGTAGGTAGTATATTTATCCATTAAAACAAAATAAAAATGAATATATGTGCAGATAACGCACCTGCATTCCGGTGACTGACTTTAGGACTCCCCAAATAACATGCTTCTTAACACGTGAGAATAGTCGCCTCCAAGTTCCAGTGAAGTCAACACGGTGAAATGTATCCATCAGCAACCTCAGCTCGGTGACAGACAACGGAGGTCCTTCATAAGTAACTAGCAGTTCAACCTACTCCATTGTGATGTAGACAATCATTAAAAAAGCAACATCATTACTACAGAAAACAATGGATTAAATTTTGCTAGCAGACTGAACCAACCTGGCTTATCTTGATATTGTGGAATTCCCTCATTTTTCGAGGCCTAGATCTTTTCTCATCCTGTGTCTTTCCTACCTTCTTTTCTTCATGAGAGGAACGACCCAATTTAGTAGGCTTAATCTCTTTTGGCTTATTTTTTGTGGGTTCGTCTTGCTGTTCAACACCAAGGGGCCCACTTTTTGATGAAGAAATGCTTGATGAATGAACCTGTAATACAAGTTCATTAGCCACAGATTCAGCCACATTTTCTTCCCATGTTCTGTCAAACGATGATGTTCGTCTTAGCTCGGGGGTAGAACCGCAAACCATATTAGCTTTAAGGTTCTGCAACTTTGATGCCTGAAAAGTAACATTAATGCAGGCATGATAAACATGACTAAAAGTTGGGGAACAAAAAAAGAAAAAAAGTTCTCTGCTGAGGTTATGCCCTACAATATGTCCTAAAGATCATGGCAACAAACAGGCCTATTAAAGCATTTATTGTTAAAAATTGTCTCACACCACCACCATTTCTATTCCCTTGACACATTAAGATCATCAAATCAGTCAGAAAGAATCATTGAAAGTGAAATGATAGGCTCCAGAAACTCACTTGAGAGGAATCAACATGAAGAGAAGATTGACTGGCAGCAGAAGTGAAGGGAGGGGTGTTTAGCTTGGAGGAAACCTCAATTTCTTTTGTTGATTGACTGCTAGATGCAGAAGCTTCAAGCATAGATGAACCTTTCTTTACACGTTTTAAATTCGCTGTAGTCGAAACCTTCCAAACTTCCTGGATGTTACGGTGTGAATCACCAATTGTATTAGTTGTTTACAATAGAAAGATAACAAATAAATTCAAAAGCACAAAAGGACTAACCTGCCGCCGTTGGGAGTCTTGTTCTTCTTCTGGGAAGAAATACTCCCATATCATATGGTACAGTGTCTCAGTCAAATGTATCTTTAGGGGATAGATCTCTACCTGCAAGATAGAAGGTACCGCTTGGCTGTTATGCAAATCACAATCAGGTCACCAGGGTCACTGGAAAATATCCCCCCTTTCTTTTTATTTTTACTTTTTTGATAGGGGAAGACAAAAGAAAAGAAATTCCTTAATGTCTAATCCACAGAGGACACAGAAACTGCTTTTTCACAGATTGGAACTCTTCAGTAATGAGATCAACTAACATAGCAAAGTTCAAATTAATTGTAGATTTCCATGTGCAGTGTGGATATTAGTTCATATTATAATCACATTTAGGGATAATGCACATCAATATGTTGAATTCCACCTGCAAATAGATATCCAAGCATCATTTGCAGACTTAAATAAGCTAATCAACAATGAGAACCATTAGGCCGTTTTTACAAATTGACAAGTGCTTTTACAAAGTGCAAGGGTATCTTTGCAAAAGTGTGTGTGTGTGTGTGTGTGTGTAGAGAGAGAGAGTGAGAGAGAGCAAAGAAAGAACCCCAAAAAGAGGGGCAAAGGAACAAAAGGTTCTCTTCATGAGGCTAAATTTTGGAGTCTCTCACATATATTAGGAAGCAGAAGAATAAATTTGCAAATGAACTTAAAATATGAAGAAGATCCACGTAAGTACAATATTGTCTAGTCATCTACGGGAATATAATATAAGCAAAGTACAAAGATTTTCTCACATGTTAAAAGAGATTAATTTAACACTAGAATGTTGAAGGGAAAAGCCAGTTGACCCTTAATTAAATGATAATTAGAATCATATCTCCTAGTAATCAATGTTTTTAATTTTATTTTATTGCAAACAATTTTTTCCCTCTACAAACCAAATTATTCCAGGATGTGTAACTTATAACAATAATACTTCCTTATCCTTTTCCATTATGTTGCAGACTTGCAGCATTCTTACTCAATAAAATGTCCATTTTTTTAATTTCTGTGCTACAATCATGCAGTCAAGCATTTTCCTTTCTTCATTTTATTAGTAAAGGTCTGGAATAAGTAACCATACCCTCAACAAAATGGTGAATTAAGGTGAGGTCAATGAAGTGTTAATGGCGAGATGTTAGGCTTTGAAATTTAAAGAAGTGCTCTTCTTTGTTTCCCTGTCAGTAGCTTTCAACATCAAGGTATTTTGTTTGCTATGTTGCCATCACTTTCGGCCAGAAAAGATATGAGCAGTATAGAGCTACATAATCCAACATGTCATGACTAATAAGGTGCCAGGAATTTGTAAGGAAACTGGTCTGCGGGAAGCCCATTGTTTCATAGTACACTCTACATTGGTTCAAGAAAATAAGCAACCGATCATCCTGACGTTTGAAGTTGAATTTTAACAAATATAGGCATCGTCTATAAGGAGACGGCAATCCTTAAACAATGGCCATCCTGATTTTTGTAAAAATAAGCTGGTTGTGGAACTGATTACCTGGAAGTTTTCAATAGGAGAGTTTCCCTCTTTTGGAGCTCCCTGCTTTGCATCTACTCGAAGCATTACTTTTCTACACACAGAAAGGTAGATGTGACTTTCAATGAAAAAAAATATGAAAGGTGTGCACAGGTAGCCAATCTGTTAAACACAGAAGTTACTTGGAAAAAAAAGAAGGAAGAAGTTACTAATATTCATGAAAAATATGCGCAGAGCAGACAAGCCTTGAAATTTATAATATCCAGAACACAATTTCCAAGAATAATTGATGTGCTAACAGTTCTCACCATAAAATTGGTGTTTACATGTGTTTGACTCATGTTTTGTACTTACAAGAATCTATCTTTACTTTGTGAAGTAGAAGAACAAGTGTTTTTGCGCCTTTCTTTATCACTTTATTTACATCTATTCTTCGTAATTGTTCCACACACATTAAGAATTTGGGTTAATACTCATAAGAATTAGGCCAACAGTGCCAGCCGTGCTGACTGCTGAGGTGGATAAATGTTTTGCACATCACGGGAAACGAAAGAGTGATATTCAGAATAGATTGTTAGTCAGACATATCTAATATTTCATTATTTTTTGATGTGTAATTCAGTAAGAAGTTTGGAACAGTCGGACAGAATCAAATAGCCAGAAAGAACTGCGAAAAAAGAAAGTGGAACCAAAACCAAGAAAGGCAAGAGCAGCTAAATCTCCTCAACATAAAAAGGGTAGGACAAATCCTCAGAAATCCTTGAATTCCTCTGTTCTATAGACACAGGATTAATGGTCAAAAAGTTAGACTGGAATATCATAGCATTCAATGCTAATGGTGTCACTTGAGAACGCAAGAGTTAGATTCGTCTTATAGATTTATGGCTGGAGGCTGATGCTAGAACCTTGTTTATTAGAACCAAGAAGGAAGGCATTCAACTACACATTCAGGCTACATGAAGGAAAAGCAAACAGGAAGGCATTCAAGGGTGTGCTGACTAACACAATTTTTTTTTCATATTTAGGGGGGGAGAGAGAGAGAGAGGGAGAGGGAAAGCCGAGAGTAGTTTACAAAGTTAAAACAGAAAAGTATAAAATCATGGAATTGAAGGCCAAACAAAAGCTTTTGCATGACACACAAAGCATAATATCAAGAGAAGCAAAGAACCACGAAAGACATGCTATTCCGTTTTATAAAGATACAGATCATCAAATACAAAGATAATAATAAGTCTTAACAATTGTGGTGTCTTATAACTCAAAGAAAAAAATCCTGTACTTATTATTAAGTGCAGCAAGTAGAGGCTCAGATAAGTTCATACTTTCCCCATTCAGGAGGAGGATTCCATGGTGAAAGAATCATATCAAACTTGGCATTGGGCAAGCAATTTCTCATGACAAAATACTTTGTTGTGAACCGAGCGACACCAAAATCTTTATAGTCCCTGTCAAAATCATATATCTGTATAGGCATAGAAAAATGTATCAGATCTACAATGAAACCAAAAACTCAAAAAATGAAAGGAATGCACACTATATTTCAAAGCAATCATAAGGATTTATGATAGTCATTCAATGAGTTCAATATGCCGTCCAAAATGATGGATATGGAAACAAAACTAAACTCTTGAACTGGAAATAAGAAAGCTTTTTCAGCATTCAATAATGGCATTTTACTCAAACTACTAAGCACTAGATGTTAGGGAGAAAAATGTCAGTGAGGTAATGTGTGTAGAAGTATGTAATTGATATTACAAAGCACCAGTATTTGTTCAAGCCAATTGGTCATGAATATTGGTCATCATATGCAACAAGAGTAGTATCTTTACTTCAAGAATGTTCCTGAACCTGATGCATTGTGCTAGCTTATTTAATGCTCTTTCTGTAAATAGCAAAGTGTGCATGATAAAACACGCACAACCTTGCATCTGAATGCAACAAATAACTCTATGGTGCCTTCCAGTGTCTGATTGAGCACTTGAAAGTTGAAAGATCTTGGCAATTTTAAGTTTGCCTTGATCTCAAGGGAATGTGTCTTGCAATTATAAGTTTAGTCTTCAAATCTTCAGACACTCACCATGTCATTTATCTCAGCTTCAGCAAAAGATTTACCATCCGCAAGCATGCTCCAAACCACTTTATTAATTTGCATAGAAATACGCATAGCACAGGACGGAGTTCTGTTTCTCTCCTTTTCCATAAGTCGTAGCTGTGCAGCTTTCTGCAGAGCCAACCTTAAGGAAGCAGATGCAGCCTTTCTTGATTTCTTGGCATTCCCAAGCTCGTTTTTTAGTCTCTGCACCTGTAGATGTGAATTTTGTAGTGCTCAGAGTCGAACACAAACTAAAAAATCAAAAATACAAACACATATGGCAAAACACATACAAAATATCCATAAATGTCTTTAAATGGACCTTATTTATTATGAAACCTGAAGATGCTTCAGATTCACAACATTTAATTAACATGAACTGCAGTTAAGGAAAAGAAAAGGAAATTTGTTACAGAAAACCTCGTGCACAGGCCTCCAAAAATTCCAAATTAAGTTCTGATCTCCTTATAAAATACATTACCAAAACTCCAAAAGTTTGGGGTGAACTTCTGGTTGTTTTTACTTTCTTCCTTCTTTCTTTTAATCAGCCTGGCAAACTTCTGCTAAAGTTAATTTGAAGGAAGCTGAAAGCAGGAGAAATACTTGAGGCAAATGGAACTCTCAGACAAGCTAGGAGAGGACACAAGTCGAAGCTATCAATGTGATTTCATAACTAGTCTAGTTGGTGCATTTGAATAATTGAAAGTTCTTTTTATAGGCCCTGTTTTGATTTGATTATGTTGATTGAATACAATAAAAAACAATCAAGCAAAATCAGACTTCAATGCAACGAAAAAAATTATAATTCAAAAATTAAATAGAAAAAAAAAACAAAATCAATAAAAATAAAAGGTGCATAGAAATACTGCATTACTGAAGAAAGAAATGTACTAGCAGACTCAAAAATGGCATCAATAATCCTTATATGATGGTTTTGCAATTAAATGACCCATCAGTCCACCTACTAAATTATGAGCTCCTATAAGATACGTATTGAACGAAATTATCCCCGTGCAGATAAAAAAGCACGTTAGCAACTAAGCCCGTAATGATAGTTCAAATAAATAAATAAACCCGTAATGACAATATCTGAATAAAAAAAATATAAATTACTAGGTTGATTTGATTGTTTTTATTGTACAATATAATCAATGCCTGTATGTATTCACATAGAACTGGTAACAACTAACTAGAAACAAGTATAACTGCATACTATTAGGGGTTCAAACTTAGAAATACTGCACAGGTTCAGCTCTCACCAATGTGGACCTTCCACCAGTTATCATCCATAGGTCACCTTCCTTTTCCAGACATATGTCTCCAGAAGTATCACCATAAGAAGACAATTTCCTAATGTCATCTAGAAGCAACTTCTGCTCCCGCTCTTTCTGTTCAAGCTTGATTCTCGCAAGTTCTACCTCTTCAACACCATAAGGAACCACCTCATCTGCCTCCTCTTCTATATCTTCATCATCTTCAGCAATCTATATGACAGACTACTTTTTCGAGGCCTGAATCACAAACTTTAATCAAATTACTTCTGAGAGTAAGGAAATGATTGCAACAAACAACACACCATCTCTAACATCTGAATCACATATTCCAATCAAAGTAATTTTACAGGTAAAACGCGATTGCATCCAAATGACAATAATTTTAGAAGTGAACAGTGATTAAAATAATTTGCTTTATTTCTATGTTTCCTGAAATAATGCAAATCTGGAAATAAATTGTCTATATACATTGACTCCTGAACTCTTACCTCAGTATGCATTTTTTTAATCAGCCTAATGAAATAACATAAGCTACCAACATTACCTACGCTGATATTTCAAAAGACCAAAATAATAAAGAATTATTCAATAAACAGCCACAAGCATTTTCAAATGGAAGAAGACTAGTGATAATATTCCACAAGAAAAGATAAAACAAAATAACAAGGATATCTTACTTGGGAAGCCGAGCAAAGAGAAGATTAGTCAACACATCAAGCATAACCTGAAACTGACGAGATGTCATTGTTGCTGTTATATTACGAGAATTGAAGGTCAGCTCTTTCAAGGGCTTCATCTGCAGCAAAATGAAATTTCACCCAAAACCCCATTTAGAGAAAGTAATTGCCAACTAGCGTTCAAATGATTTACCATAGAATATAACAGCAAGAAAAAGCTAAAGAATTTAGTTATAGTAATAAAGACTGGAGATTATTCAAAATATTTAATTAAATGTAGAGAAAAATTAAAGAATCAAGTGTCCACCTTTAAGTCCGTCGTTCCGCCATTATGCCTTGTGTAGCGGAAGTACATATCACAAGGCATAAATACCCTTTCAAGTAAAGCACCAGTACGCTTTACTTTTGGGGAACTCCTACGGATTTTTGGAAGCCACTGTAGTCCAGCCCCTGGGTCAACATCAGTTGGTGCAACATGAGCTTGCACATGCTCCAACATCACAGAAAATTCCATGCGGTTCCATGTCATTTCAGGTTGACATTCTGGAACATGTACATTTCCAGTACCAAGTGCCTGTTCAATTATTTCATAGCCAACATGAAGGACTGAATGAAATGAACGGGCTAAAACACGGCCACTAACAGCAGCAAGCAGAAATCTACCCTGTCGACAAACAAACAAACAAAAAAATATTATAAAGTGAAGTAAAATGGCTAGAACTTCCGAAATTTACTCCAGCTTCTACGATGAGTTGTCATGCTGAAAATGGGAAATACAATACTGGGAAAAAAATAGTTGCCGCTGCTACACATGCAGCCATTTGAGTTGTAAAGACCAAAGTTCCAGCTACTTGATGCAGAGTTCTGTTAGATTGGACATCAAGCAAGCATATCATCCCCCAAATAGGCATGATATTTGTGATTTGTAATTCATAATGATATGATAAGCACCTTAGTTCTACTTTTTTTCCTTTCTTTTTCCAGATACTGCTATACAATTAAATTACATTTATTTTTTATCCATCCTTCCCCTCTATCATAGATAATGGGTAGATTTTCTTGCTCTTTATTATTTCAAAATAATAATGATGCATGACCAGAATCTCACAAGAGTAACAATGAAAAATTGAGAAACTTTTCACTGCACCATTATAGAGGTCCATTTAGTGAGCCACCTCCATAATCATGGAAAGTTCAAACTAAAATATTAGATAACAAGTCCAGATAGGAAAGAGGAAAGACATACATAAATCAACATGCCAAGTGAGTCAATTCAAGCAAGTTTTGGTTAACGTTGTAGGAGGTTTTAGATTTTAAGTTCGCCCTTTTTGTCATTGACACGTAGTGATAACAGTAGGAGTTGCCCAGATGGCATTATGAACATAGGCACCCTTTTCTTTCCAAAACAAAAAAAAAACAAAAAAAACAAGAATAGAAAGAAGAAAGAAAAGGAGAGAAGAAAAGAGATTCTATCTCGAATACGTATGAAATCTGATAAATAGGTTGCAAGTGCCTTCATGTGAAAACGTGGGTAGTATACTTCAGATGTTACCATCGGAGAGCAACTTTAAACATAATTGAAGTAGCTGATACCAATCAAGGTGGCAAATGGGCGGGGTTTGGATAAACAGGCTGCACATTAAAACAATCCAACCCGAACCCACCAATTTAATAAATGGGTTTAAGCTGGTTGGGTAGAATTGGTATTGGTCAGACAAATCAATCCGACCAATCCGTTTACTTTATTGAACTCTTTTTCTAATGGTGTTGATGTGGTGGCAATGGAGGTGGTGGTGGATGAGGTGGCAGCGGTGGTGGTGGTGAGAAACAGGAAGAAATTATCCTGTATCAGTAAACTGTAAATGCAAAACATCTTATTTTCATGTTCAGTTACTAAGAAACATGAAGAAATTTTTCCAAGAAATTTAATGAAACATGACGAGACAAACTTGTATAAGGCTTGGTTCAATTTTATATTTGTAAGTCATTTACCGAGAGTTCTAATGTAGTCATAAATTACAAAGAGACAACATTGTCTTCTCTCTCTTTCTCTCTCTCTCTCTCTCTCCCCCCTGCTGTTTCTCGGGAACCAAATGGAGTGGTGGTGGTGGTGGTGGTGGTGGTGTTAGAGGAGGTTTCAACGGGTACCTTCGTCCAAACCCATTTAAACCCATATTTAATTGGGTTTGAAATATGCAACCCATCTAATTAAGATAAAATTCACACTTAAAAAAACGTAAAGAAAAATTAATAAGAAAATTCACGAATATGATTTAATATATCGAAAGCGGTTAATATGCTAAAATAGCCTACTCCTAGAATATAAATTTCAAAGCAAACATGTTCCCAATGATAATGTTTCCCAGAAGAAAATCATCGATGGAAAATTCAAGAATAGGCTAAAAACATCAAAAACATAAACCTGTACTTAAATCAAGGAACAGTTTGTTACAGAAGTAAAATAAGGGAGCACAAATAAAAAGAAGTCTATTAATGATATAAACTACTGCTAAAACAATGCAGGAAATACACAACTAAGTATAGTCAAAGTGGAGGAAAAGAAAAAGGACAAAAGGTCAATGGCGGATCCACATTTCCTTTTGACAATTCAACTACAAAAAAAAAAGAAACACACAAAGCAACAATCAGCAGAGGGATGTCAGCTCTAATGCTGCAATTTCCTATACAACTTACATTGGCTTCTTCTGAGTGAAGATTGAATTGTGGCTCTATAATATTCACCATGAAATGTCGAGTCCCCTCCTCCTCGGAATCATCATTGTTTCCAATATTTGCTGGTAAGACAAAATAAATCCTCCTTAGCTGAAATCTTTTGTACTACAAATGCTTCCAGGAGAATAAATACTGAATTGCAATATATAGCTAGAAATATACCAATATTACTACACTGATGCGCATAGATACTTCTAAAAAGGTTGTATGTCCATGCCGTACAATTCACGACACATGTCAAACGTGTTATATTATTTTTCAAAGAATGACCTGAACAGGCCTTGGATACTTGGGAGAAACATGTGCCTATCGCTTACACATAAAACACACCATAAGTTTGAACAAAATAACTTGGAACACGTTGATGAAATAAAACAATGCATATTCATGCCTATTAATCCATCTTCCTTTAAACTTTAGAAATTTGTGTAATATTATATATTTTATTTTCTTTGGATGAAACACTCATATATATATATATATATGACATATAATAAATATATAAAATTATATATTTTGTGTGTTTGCACGAGTCATGTCCTACATCTTTTGAAAATTATTGTGTCGGTGTGTTTGTGTCGTGTGTCCATGTTTGTGCTTCTAAGATTGACGATGATATTTACTGCATAAAAGCCTAATGAAATCGGAAATGCCGAAAATCACTGGTTATATATAAAGAAACCTATATAAATACAACACTAGACAAACATATAAAATCTAAAATTGAAGTCTTGAAAACAAATTTTCAAGGATGTTTGGAGTGTTTGGGATTATCTTTTGTACTTTTATTTTATTTATTTTCCTTTTATCTGATTGAACAAGGGTTGTAAACACCCCCCCCCCCCTCGAAACCTTCTTTAACACAAGTTTCTGTGTTTCTGATTAAAAAAATAATAAAAATGTACTCGTAGAACTTACCAATAGCACCAGATGTTGAGTTTTCTTTTTTAACTGCATGCGGTGGAGATGAAAGTGATCCTGAAGTCTCTGCAAGTTGTGGAGAAGAGGAACTGGCACCTTGATTGATTAGAGGAGGCTTTGACACATCATCTGGAGGCATTTCAGGTCTGTCAACTGCCTGTTTGTCCTCAAGCAACTTCTTCTGTGCATACTGCCGAGAAGGAGAAGGTTTTGGAGATTCAAATGCCTTCGATATTCCACCAACCCAGGACCAAACTGCATCTCTATTCTCAAGAGTCCATAAAAGCTTGAGGCCATAAACAAAAATGCGTCTACAATTGTCAGCTATTACCACATTATAACCATCATCATCACTTGGATCAGAACGTGTATACTCATCACTCTCACTCCCATTTTCAAACTCGGACCTGACATATGTCATCTCAAGATTTCTTCTTCCGGCTTCCTGCCATGCTAATAATCTTGCAGGGTCAGCCTTTGGGGCTTGCCGTCTGATTGTAAAATAATCAGAAGATAACAAAAATCCATCATCACGATGCTTCTCTGTGCAGCTGTTAATATACCCACATTTTTCATTTGCAGTTCGGTCCATGGATGCAGACTTTGAACTTTTCCTTGTCATTCGAATTACTTTTGCAACACTCATGCAATCTTCTTTATCTAGATATGTTTTAGGCATGTGTAGGTCGAGACCCTGGTAAACAAGATCTAGAGAATCACGCTTGCATTCAAAGGTATATTTTTGCTTACCCCGACTATAATAGAGTTCATATTTCAACTTTGTCATCTTAAATGTCAGCCCCTTAGCCGGATCATCATCATCTAGATACACATGCCTTATACAAGTTGGAGTGGCGTCAATGCGAAACATAAATTCTGTCATCACCTTGTCTAGAGACAGATTGCCCGATCTGGCAACCCGTGGAATTCCAAAACGAGGCCATCGTGAAAAGCTCCGCAACTTATAAGGAGGTGAATAATTCATGCTCCAGAATTTAATTAACCATGCTAAATCATGAGCACCAATTATCAGGGTTGGTGAATCAATTGAAACATTCTCTGACTTGCATATAGTTCCATAAGCAACACCATCCAGGACAGCATCATCTCCTGTTGTGGAGGATTGTGATTGATTCTCACGTGAGGGAAGAGAGGGTCTCAGTGAGAAATCCCACCTCAGGGAGAGAGACGTAGATCTGAAGGGATCAAAAACTTTTTCACGGGGTGCACCTTCATTTGGGAGTGCAAACAAATAATGATTCATGGGATTGCCCGAATAGCATTCCCATTCCATTGTCACTTCAAGAGAAAAGGATGGGGCCTCTAGGGTAGCACCACAACTGCCAGGAGGAAGCTTTATGTTGCAGTTGTTCAGTAAAGTCTCCAAACTGCTCAACAAAATCTTAAAATCCTTTGCAGAAACATAAACACAACCATCTGACTGCTGGATTTCCATATGGCCAGAAACAATTTGAAGTTTGTCACGATTCTCATAAGGATCAGTAGTGGCAAGAACAATCCATCTGGTCTCAGACATAAACAAGGTAATATGCCCATGAATGTAATTTCTCATATCGTCCCACCATGGTAAGCTGCGTTCCTTTTTGGGTGGCTGAACATCTGAAGCATTGGGGTTCCTAATGCTTAGATCAGCCCTGCGAAGAGCAATAGAAAAAGCATAGCTGATATCAGCAAAAGCTGGCTCAAAACCCACTCCAAAGGAAACTTCAGCTTTCTGAAAATGAATAGGCAAATCTGAGTATGTCTTCATTGGTGGAGTAGTGCCACTAGCTGAACGAAGCATGCAGACTTTCCTCCATCTTCCAATAAAGACATTTTGGTATATTTGGGGCTGAAAGCATGTCGCCTGCAATTAATTAAGGACCATTCAATTACATGCTTCTATCCAGAAGTCTATAGTCATGAAAAGCAACACAATTTTTGAACCAGAGTTAAGAATGTGAAATGCGTATGATAACAAGCATCCAAACAGATCATATTTTTATTTTTCTAATTTTTAGAATAGTACATGCTTCAGACACTTACAAACACCGGTATCCATAGCTTGGACATATATGAAATCCGTCACAAGTATGATTAGAATAACTTGGGAGCCAATGTATACCTATAAATCTCTCCTTAAATACTTGTTAAAATAAATATTAGGATTTTTAGTTCACACTTTTTTTCCACCATATAGTGTAATAAAATGTTTTGTTTCCCACTATATGAATACAAACCAAACCAACCAAACCAAGCCTTAAGTCCCATCAAATGGAGTCGGCTGCATGAATCCTTCTTCTCCACTCGACTCTATCTAATGACATTTCGTTAGTCAAATTAAGGAGACTCATATCTCTATTTACTACACTAGTCCACGTCAATCTAGGTCTACCCCTCTTCCCCTAACACTACCATCTACCGTCACTGTATCGCATCTCTTCACCACTGCCTCTGTTGGTCTCCGTTGTATATGACCAAACCATTTCAATCTATTCTCTCTCAACTTATCTTCTATTGATACTACTCCTACCCATTCTCGAATATATTTATTCCTAACTCTGTCTTTTCTAGTCTTGCCACACATCTACCTTAGCATCCTCATCTCAACAACACTCATCTTCTCTACATGTTACTTCTTAGTTGCCCAACATTCTGTTCCATACTACATCGCTGGTCTAATAGCTGTTCTATAAAACTTACCTTTAGTCTAATGGGTACTCGTGTATCGCACAATACTCCAGACGCAATCCTCCACTTAAGCCACCCCGCTTTAATTCTGTGAACCACATTCGCTCCAATCTCCTCAGTCGTTGTGATAATCGATCCTAAATAACGAAAATATTCACTCTTAGGTAGTTCTTGGTTCTCAATCTTCACTTCTCCTCTCGTTCCATTATGGCTGTTACTAAAATTACACTCCATATACTCTGTCTCAGTTCTGCTTATCTTAAATCATTTAGATTCAAGTGCTTTTCTCCAAATCTCTAACTTAGTGTTAACTCATTCTCAAGTCTCGTCCACTAACATGATATCATCTGCAAAAAACATACACCATGGCACATCATCATGATTATTGTGCGTCAACTCATCCATAACTAAAGCAAAAAGATAAGAACTTAAGGTTGATCCTTGCTGTAACCCTACAAAAATTAAAAATTCACTTGTCTCTCCAGCAGGCGATCTGATAGCGGTCACCAAACCTTCATACATATCCCTAATCACATCAATGTAACCTTTTGTCACCTATTTCTTCTCTAACACCCACCAGATTATATCCCGAGGCACTCTATCATATGCTTTCTCAAAATCGATAAAAACCATATATATGTCTCTTTTCTTTTCTCTATATTTTTCTATCACTCTCCTCAAAAGATAGATCGCTTCCATACCAGGCATAAACCTAAATTGATTTTCTATTATATCTCACAATCGACGTTCCATCACACTCTCCCACACTTTCATTGTGTGACACATTAACTTAATTCTTCTATAGTTGTTACAATTCTGGACATCTCCTTTATTCTTATATATTGGCACTAAAATACTCTTCATTCACTCCTTTGGCATTTTCCTAGTCAATAAAATCTTACTAAATAACCTAGTCAACCAAACAACTGTAAGTTTAGAGACGAGAAAGAGATAGGGAATGAGTGAGACCTTATCCCTTTTATATTGATAATAATATGTAATTACAGGAGTGCCATTAGGAATAAATTATGGGCCAGTCCATTATATCAATCAAGAGAAAATAAAATCAAATAAGAATAAAATATAGCAAATATTATTTCCTATTCTAACTTATTCTAACACTCCCCCTCAAGCTAGTGCAAAGATATCTCTCATGTTCAGTTTGTTGAGAATGTCATGAAATGATTTGCTCCCTATTCCTTTGGTCAAAACATCTGCTAGTTGGTCCCCAGTCTTTACAAATGGAGTATATATGGTGCCACTGGTGAACTTTTCCTTGATAAAGTGCCTATCAAACTCCACATGCTTGGTTCTATCATGTTGAATTGGATTATGAGCTATGTTGATTTCCGCCTTGTTGTCACAATACAATCTCATGGAATCAGTCTGATGGATCCCCAAGTCTGCCAACAATAATCTAATCCATAGCAACTCACATACACCCTGAGCCATAGTCCTGAATTCTGCCTCAGCACTAGATCTAGCAACCACATTCTGTTTTTTACTTCGCCATGTGACTAGGTTGCCTTCAACAAATGTGCAATATCTAGAAGTTGATTGTCTGTCAGTGACTGATCCAACCCAATCCGCATCAATAAATGTCTCCACACTGAGATGTCCATGTTTTGAGAAATAGAGATCATTTCCAGGAGAAGACTTTAGGTACCTCAAGATTCTCATACCTGCCTTTAAGTGGGAATGATGCAGCACACGCAAGTTGAAGTAAGTTTAAGCTAACTATTTATGGGCTGGAAGTGGTAATATGTGAACAGAGGCAATAGGAAAATAGAAAAGATGAAGAAGACTAGGCATCACTCCTAGAATCCCTTAGGCATCACACCTAGGGTTGGGTTGCATCACACAAACCCTAAAGCGGCTCATAGCTCTGAAAATTATATAAATTCTGATTGGTTATTTTATTAGAAGCAATAGATTGCTTCATATAGGACTAGAAGACTTCCTTAACCAACTAGGACCAAACTAGGAAACTACTAAAACTACTACAAAATCTAACTTCTAAAACTTATTTAATATCAAATAAGACACATAAACATATTAAACCAATACCAAGACCCATGGGTCAACCCAACGACCCTTTATTGAAACCCGCCCCAGAAATTCTGCAAATTACAAAAATACCCTTGACCTTAAAACATAAATATAAATAGAGGAAAGACTCAAATTAATTTATTCTAGTTCCCAAGTGGGCCCGGGATCATCCAACACATGCCAAATCAAAACTTGAACCTTAGAAGCATCTGTGCCACGCCGTTTATAGACTTTAATACTACGCTGCCACTTGTCTCCATCATCTTGAGAAGACTCAACCTTGACGAGTTAAAAGCATGGAACCACTCGTAAAGATCATGGTCAAGGCGACAAAACTCATCATCAGTGAACCAAGTACAATCTGAAAGTGGACGTCCATTCCATTTAATAAGATATTTTTGATAGCTACCTCCTCGAGTAAAAACAATAACATCTTCAATCTTGTTGTGCAAACATGGTGGTGGTGGGAGATGAGCATCTGGAGCATTCGGGAAAGAAACAACACTGTGGCCAGTGTAGAGAGTTAAGTCCTCAATGTTGAAGACATTACTGATGCCCATGTCTTTAGGGAGGTCAAGGACATAAGCATTAGAGCTTATTTGCTTCACAATTTTGAAAGGCCCAGCACTCTTTGAATGGAGCTTCTTGTAAACACCCTTTGGATACCTTTCAGGTCGAATTCGCACCATAGCCATGTCACCTTCCTGAAATTCTGTGAACCTCATATGCTTTGTAGCTTTGGTTGCTCATAGCAATCTTCCTGCGAACATCTTCATGTATATCCCGAATATGCTTGACAAAGGCATCAGCTTCAGCACTTGGATGGGCTTCAATAGGTAAAGGAACCAAGTCTATCGGTTTCCTAGGTAGGATACCTGTAACAATCTCAAAAGGACTGCGACCAGTTGACCGGTTCACCGAGCTATTGTATGCAAATTCAGCAATAGGAAGAATCTGATCCCAGTTTGAAACATGATCACCAACTAGGCATCGAAGAAGGTTTCCTAAGCTGCAGTTTATAACTTCCGTTTGGCCATCAGTTTGAGGGTGAAAAAGAGGAGGAAATTTCAGCTTTGTATTCAGCAATTTCCATTAAGTGTGCCAAAAGTAGCTTGTGAACTCCACATCACGGTCCGAAACAATGGTTTTAGGAACACCATGTAACCGAAATACCTCTTTAAAGAAGATTTTGGCAATATGTACAGCATCCAATGTCTTGGAACAAGGAATAAAGTGCGCCATTTTTGAAAATCGGTCGACCACTACATAAACAGGAATCATGACGTCTCAGTGTTTTTGGCAAACCAAGGACAAAGTCAGGCTGGGTAGTCTCGTTTGAGCAAATCAAAGCCAACAACTTGGACAACCATAGAAGTAAGGATATACACTACTCTGCTAAGAGCATCGGCTAATTTATTCTCAGTACCAGCTTTATCTTTGAGGACAAAAGAATATTGCTGCAAGAAGAAACCCACTTAACATGTCGATGATTCAATTTCTTTTGAGAATTGGTATATTTGAGTGGCTCATGGTCTGAATATAAAACAAATTCTTGAAACACGAGATAATGATGCCAATAGCGAAGTGCCTGAACCACAGCATATACTCCTTGTCATAAGTGGAATACTATTGCTTAGCTTCATTTAACTTCTCACTAAAATAAGCAACAGGATGTCCTTCTTGACTAAGAACCCCTCCAATACCCACATTAGAAGCATCACAAGCAACTTCAAATACTTTAGAAAAATCTAGTAGCCGAAGTACGGGTGCTTCAGTCATTCGTTTCTTCACTTCTTCAAAAGCTTTGGTGGCTGCACTTGACCAAGTAAATTGTCCTTTCTTCATGCAGTCTGTTATGGCGGCCATTATACTGCTGAAACCTTTAATAAACCTTCAATAGAATGTAGTCAAACCATGGAAACTCCGAACTTCATTTATTGTCACCTTGCTTGGATCAGCTTCTACCCCTTGTGCAGAGACAATAAAGCCTAGAAACACAACACTTGAATTCATAAAGCAACACTTCTTTAAGTTTACATAAAGCTTCTCGTGACGAAGAACTCTCAGTACTTGCGCCAAGTGTTGAAGGTGCTCCTCTTTATGATTGTTGTAAATAAGTATGCCATC